GAACCAATGATTTCAAAATGAAATTAATATACAGTTACAAATAAATATAGCATGATTTGATTTACTTTAATTAATTTTAATTTCCTTAATGAAATGGCTTTTCTTTTATCAGTTTTTTATGGGGGGCTAATGGAGTGTTTGGATTGCTATAAAATATTTTAAAATAAAAATTCATACTATTAAAAAATCATTTTAAAATATTTTTTTAACCCCTCATAACATGTGTAAATCTTATATTTTTAAAAAATATAATTTGATAAATATCATAAATTAATTAGTACAATATCGTTTCTGTTTATAATAATTAAAGAAAAAATAAATAATTGAAATATGTGAACCAATTATATCACAATAAATCTTTCAAAATTTAAAACAAAAGAACGGAAATTAAAAATAGAACGAAAATATTTCAATAATAATATTCTACATCATCAAGTAAAAGTAAATTAAAAATGAAAAGATAATATTTCAATAATAATATTCTACATCATCAATAGTAAAGGCATATTTTAAACAATAGTAAAGGTAAATTAAAAATGGAACAAAAATATTTCAATAATAATATTCTACATCACCAATTAAAAATAAAACTAAAATTAGGTAAAAATACCATTGCATATGATATTCTAATTGATTAATTGATGGAAAATAAAAAGAATAATTGGTTGAAAATGAATATGATATTACTAATTGACTGATATTTTACGATGATATATTTTCACCCGAGTCACCCATTATAATGGACTGAAGATGTTAGCTATAGATGATGACGGACAAGATTATGTTGCTACTACCAATGTCGTCTACAATATGATGTTTTAATAATGTGTAAATACAATTGGTGATATTATGTTTTTTTAATGACAAAATTGCTATATATCTACACACACAAAAAAATAAAAATTTTTAAAGCAATTTAGACAAAAAAAAAAAAAAAATTCATACAAATGAATTAGGATAGCAATTCATTCCTATAACTGAGTTGCTAAAGAATGAGCACGTTTGCCTAATTTATAAAAATACTAAACAATGATAAATAAAAGCTTCAAAGTTACAACACTGCATGCGTATATCTACACATTAGCTATTAATTTGAACCATTATTTGTTTAAATTCAAGCAACGATAACATCAAAACATATAAACGATCCAAACTATATCTTCAATTGCACTATATAATATTTAATGTTCTAATTTAAATAATTATATATCAATCCAGATATTCTTAATATATTACAACAAATTCACGGGCGAAACCATATCTTTAATTGCACTATATAATATTTGAGTTATTACTGAAAAAATCAGTCTTTAATCACGGTTAATTGTATGTTATTTTTTTCCGAGTCACCCATCCTGATAGTCTGATAGTTTTAACTTTAGACGATGATGGATAAAATTCCGTTACTACTACCAATGCCGTCTAGCTATAAAGAGATTTTCAATAATGTATAATTTAAGTTTTATATACAAAAATGACAAAATTGCTATATAGCTGATCTACATAGAAAATATATCTTCCGTATAAATAATTTATATAACTGAGTTGCTAGACAACGAGCTAATTAGCCCAATTAATACAAATTATAGACACTGATATATAAAATCTCTAAAGTTACAACACCGAATGCGTATATCTACACGTTAGCTATTAATTGGGCAATTATTTATTCTAATTCAAGCATTGATAACATCAGAAAATATAATCGGTGCAACTCAATTCTTCAATTATATTATATAATATTCGATTTTATAATTTATACAATTATATATCGATATAAATATTTTTAAAATTTTATAACAAATTCATTTCGTGCAACGCACGGGCGCAAATACTAGTTTCTAATAAAATATATTATTTCCTACTTTCATATTCGTACTACAGTTCTACATTGAAATTCATATTCGTAATACAATCCAACAATATTAAAATTCATATGTCTATTAAGATTAAAATAAAAATCCTTAAAAATATGCATACTTAATTCCATACAACACTGATAAACCCAGTTAAAATCAAACTCAATCTCCCACTCCGGATTGTTATGCTGTGCAACCGTGTGCACCATTCTAAATACATAATTTCCATACTGTAAATTTATAAAATTTATACTGTAAATTAAGGTTGCAAAATATGTTAGGCGCCCGATTAATTATTAATTTTTTATTTTTTAATTATTTTTTTTAAAGTTAAACTAAAAATTGTAAAATTCACTAATAAAACATAAGGTTCTCATAGTTATTTCTTACAAACTATTTACGTAAATGGTTGTAAAGCGCAAAATGAGGTAGAATGAATTGTATAATTAAACATTTTATATAATTAATTATTTTTGTTTAAAATATACAAATATTTATAATAATATTTATTTTTTTGAAATCAAATAATAGTAATTATTAAAAAGCTAAGAAATTAATTATTTTTTTTAAAAAAAAAAAGACAGGGAGTTTCCCTTGCCAGAAACCAGAGAGAAGTTCTCTCTAGTTTCCACCGCCGAAAATCAGAGTTCCTCTCGATAATTTTTTTTAAAGGTTTCTGGCGGAAACCAGTGGTCTGGTTTCCGGCGGAAACAAGACCACTGGTTTCTGCCGGAAACATTGTTGTATGTTTGGCGGAAGTCATTTTTCACCAAAATAGCTTGATTTTCCCTAGTCAACGAAAAATGTTTTCCGTTGGCTGAGTTTTCCAATCCCATCCAAACATGAGAAACCCGGAAAATGATTTTCAGAAATCATTTTCGGGGTTTCCAAACACATCCTAAGTCTCAATCCAGGTTATATCATTGATTTATATATGTTCATTTTTGTATGCTAATAAATGTATATATTTTACTTTAAATGTTGTACAGTTTAATTTTATTGGACAAAATTGTCCCCACTATATTTTTGTTAGACAAATCTACCCTTACACTGATATAACCACGTTACTATTTAATTTTAACATTGATGCCTCCATCATCATTACCATACGTTTATATATATCATATCTTCTTTTTTTTTTCTATTATTTAATTATTTTATTATCATGTTATTAAAACCATGTTATAATTAATTTAATGAGTTAATACTTAAAATGGTCATCGACTATTGTTGTTTTTCTCAATTTCATCCTAAACGATTTTGGTGACATAATGTAGTCACAAATTTTTGTGCTTTTGCTAAATTTAGTCTTTCGTTTGTTATTCCGTCAAATTAGTGTTAAATAAAGGGACAATTCAACAATCTTAATATTGACATCTCTTTACTCTCAGTCTATGGAGTGTGAAATCTATCTTTCTTTTACGAATTACTCCTAGACCTGCAAATCAAATTTTATATTCACAGAGGAGTAATTCTGTGAGTAATACATAAAAGAAAGAAAGATAATTTTGCACTTTGCATGTCTATCTAGCAATAAAGAGATGTCAATATTGAAATGTGCAGAATAACAAACGGATGACTAAATTGAGCAAAAACACAAAAATCTGAGACTACATTAAGTCATCAAAGTCATTTAGGACGAAATTGAGAAAAATCATTATAGTTGATGACCATTTTAGGTATTAACTCTTAATTTAGTTATTGATTATATTTTAATTAAATTTCTATGAATGGTAAATCATATGTCTGTGTATATAATATATATATTATTTGTTTATATATAACTTGAACTATAATTTTTAATTATTTATATATATTTATCACGATTATAATATTAGGTATAAATTTTCACGTCACGCATACAAAATACTAGTATTTTCATAAGCACATAAATCTACTATACTAATAAGAGCCCAAGAGAGTTAGGCCTATAATGGGTAGAAAAAATGGCGGTCAAATTTTTTAATCAAATGAATGGCTCATATTGATAATAAGAGCCCAAGAGAGTTAGGCCTATAAATCTATAATGGGTAGAAAAAATGGCGGTCAAATTTTTTAATCAAATGAATGGCTCAGATTGATCAGATTTTAATTTTTCCTTACGATTTCCTAATTTATCCTTAATGAATATGATTATCCGTTAACTTTTCCGTTAAATATTATCTTTTTCGTTAGTTTCTGTTAGTTCACCGTTAACTTACTCATTGATTTCAATAAGAAAGGTCTAATTAAAGTTGACATAATTAGTACTCTATTTTACTCTTATTAAATTAAATAATAATTTAGTAGCTACAACAAAAAATAATACATATGCATTTCTTTAATTTAGAATTATGTGTCTAAAATGTCTTTATTCAAAAAAAAAAATTATTCGTTATCAATAAATTAAATAAGAAAAATAATTTCATTAGTTATATTGTCTTTATTTTCTCCAATATAAAAATTCTTTACATTTAAATTCATCAATTGATTATATTCGCTACATTGTCCCTACAATGTCTTTATTAAAAAAATATTCATTATCAATAAATTAATTAAGAGAAATAATTTTATTAGTTATATTGTCTTTATTTTTCCCCACAATGTAAAAATTCTTTACATTCAAATTCATGAATTGATTATATTCACTACATTGTCTATTATATTTTTTGTACACTATTTTTTAAATTAAATATCAAAGTTATAATACAAAATAATGCTATATATTTATTTACCAAGTATTTTATTAATATCATGAAAAAATTTAAAAAATATATAAATATAAATATAAATATAATTAATAAAGCCAATCATATTAACTATTTGAGGAATTTGTTGACAAAGAGAGTATTCAAATCACACAACAAATTGAAGTGAAAACTATCTCGCAATGTCCTTGTTTGACCATCAGCAGTTAGCGGATTTGGCCAGCGAATTATATCAACTGTTGGTAAAAAGATATTAAAAATTAGTTGTTTAGATTAACATGTAAAATGACCTAAGTGTATACCGATAATAATAATAATAATAATAATAATAATAATAATAATAATAATAATAATAATAATAATAATAATAATAATAATTATTATTATTATTATTATTATTATTATTATTATTATTATTATAATAATTGTTTTTAAAAAAATTAAAAAATTAAAAAATATAATTAAGCTAATTATATTAACTACTTGGGACTTTATTGACAAAAAAAGTATTCAAATCACACAACAAATTGAAGTGGGAAACTAACTCGCAATGTCCTTGTTTGTCAATCAACAATTAGCTCTTCAATATTAGTATATATTTAATATTTTATACCCTAATTTTTATTTGCTCTCCCTTATGTCCTGTATTTGGTTTCAACCATACCTATACAATTATTTTATTGACAATTATAATCAATCTTGACTATATTATATTGCATTTGTAAACTTAGAATTACCTATTTAAATATGCAAATTCAACATTCAATTATCTATGTATGAACAATTTCAATATCATCTTGTCTTAATATACTTTAAAGTACTTATTTAAAAAAAAAAAAAAAACTTTGGACATTATCCCGTACAAAACTAGTATATACATAATTGCTGAGAAGCATTAACCTAGCTAGACTCATTTTTAATGGTATGTAAGTATGTAACTATCGTTTTGAGCGATTTTCTAAATAGCTAATTCATTGGGTCAAATGACAACTACTTGTCACGTATGATTTCGATATTTTTTTTTTCTTCTAAAACTCTAAATAATTAAATTCTTTATTATGCATGCATGCAATTTAGGTAAATTATTACTATTATATATTGTACCAAATACGCCATCTTTTAAATGTTAAAATTTAAATTTTTAGCATAAAAGAATATTGTCGTGTTTGACTGCTTGGTATAGTAAATTTGGATTTGCCATTTATAGATTAGTAATTGGTTATTATATATATAAGTGTGATAATATGTCACCTACATAGCATTTTACTTTACAACGTAACACAAGATAATTTTGGGTTGAGGAGAATCATGGAGATGGAGAGTTGGGTGGTTATTTTGTGGGATATTATTAGGTTTGGGGCAATGGGTTTAGGTTGTTTGTGGGTGGTTAGGAGGTTGAATAGTTGGTACTATGAAGTATTGAAGCTTGGCAACAAGAGGTTCTCTCTGCCACCAGGAGATTTGGGTTGGCCTTACATTGGTAACATGATACCATTTTTGAGGGCTTTCAAATCCTCTAATCCTGATAGTTTTTATCACTCTTATGTTTCGAGGTACTTTATTGTGAAAATTGTTAATTTTGATTATTAATTTCATTCACGTGATATTATAAAGTTTAGATTTAATTTACCCCCCTCCCTTCCCAACACACACACACAAAAAAACTTTTGGTCGATTTTTCAGGTGAGAATTAAGAAATATTGTGTCACCTGCTTTCATTTGGATAAAAATCTCATTTTACTTGAGTTTAGTGAAATTCTGACCAAATCTAACCAAAATTCTCATATGAAGATGGGGAGGGGAAGTTGTGTAACTCGTGTTGCCACTTTTTTTAATTGTACATTAATTGTTATAATATAGGAATCAAAAGTAATAATTAGACTCGAAAAATCTATCCTAAAAAAATCATTCTTGTATTTATGAGTTTCATTCTTGTCAATGTGCTTTTGGTAAAGTTCGTTGCACCAGGAAAAATAGACAGACAATTATTTTGGTTTTAATTTTAATGGAATAAGGGTCAAATATGCCATCGAACTGCACCCGATAAAACAATTAGGCCACTGAACTTAAAAAACCAACAATTAGGTCCCTAAACTAATCAATTTCAAACAATTATTCCAATTTGAAGGTTTCCAACAGGTCAACAGGTCATCTCCCAAATTAATTAGTTTTAAATTAAACTAAAAAAAAAAAACTGGAATCCAGCCGGAGACGAAGTGTTTCTTCGTCTCCGGCCATGGAGACGAAGAGTTTCTTCGTCTCCAGCCATGGAGAAGAAGAAACTCTTCGTCTCTATGGCCGGAGACGAAGAAACCCTTCGTCTCCCGCCGTGGAGACGAAGAAACCGGCCGGAGACGGTCGTCTCCGGCCGGAACCAATTTTTTTTTTTTTTTTAATTTAAAACTAATTAATTTTTAAAATTTAAATTTTAAAAAATAATTAATTTGGAAGGATGACCTGTTGACCTGTTGGAAACCTTCAAATTGAAAACATTATTTAAAATTGATTAGTTTAGAAATCTAATTATTAGTTTTTTAAGTTCAGTGGCTTAATTGTTTTATCGGGTGCACGATGACCTATTTGACCCTTATTCCAAATTTAATTTATGTTTTGAAAAATGGATCAGATACGGGAAAACAGGAATGTACAAGGCTTTGCTGTTTGGTCGGCCGACAGTGATCGTTACATCGGCGGAAGCCTGCCGGAAAGTTATGACGGACGACAGAGCCTTCAAGTCCGGGTGGCCGGCGACCACCGAGGAACTGGTCGGGAAACAATCGTTCGTGAACCTCGTAGACGAAGAGCACAAACGCATGCGGAAACTAACGTCGGCTCCGATCAACGGCCACGAGGCGCTGTCGCTTTACTTCGACACCGTCGAAGAAAACGTGAAATCGCATCTGGAGAAATGGGCATCCATGGGAGAGATGGAGTTCGCGAGGCAGCTTCCGAACCTATTTTTTAGGGTAATTATGCGCATTTTCGTGAGCTCCGAGGTTGATCATATCCTCGCTGCCTTAATGAAGGAGTATTATTTCATGAATCGTGGACTTAAAGCCATGGCGGTCAACTTACCAGGCTTTGCTTACCACCGTGGACTTAAGGTAATCTCTCTCTCTCTCTCACTTTAATGATAATAGAAAAACTTGCTATTTTAGATTATTGAAAAGTGGTTGTCTGGTCCGACCTCTCGATTAGGGTTGGGTGGAGGCGTAATTGACCCCATTAGTATTAAAATTACTAATATAAAGAATTATTTTAAATTTCAGGCACGGAAAAGGATTATAGTGGTGTTAAAGAAGATATTGGATGAAAGAAGAGATAAAAGAAAGAATGGAGTTTGCGAAAAGAGAGATGTGGTAGGTTTATTACTAGATGTGGTAGATGAAAATGGGAAAGGATTCAGTGACGAGTCAATAATTGATATTCTGATAATGTATTTAAACGCCGGTTATGAATCAACTTCTTGTGCCACATTATGGACACTTATCCTTCTGCACGACCACTCTGACGTCCTCAAAAAAGCTAAGGTACTGAAATATATCGATCACCACCTTATTTTCATCAAAATATAATATAGACAATTGACTAAATCACGTAATACTATTGAATAATTAATTATTATTGACATTTTTTGGTGTGCTTAATTTCAGGCAGAGCAAGAAGAAATTGTGAGGAATCGGCCTTATGATCAAAAGGGTTTGAGTTTCAATGAAATTAGAAAGATGCAATACCTTCCTAAGGTAAAATTAAAGTTGATTTTAATTCTTTAGAACAACCTCGTAGAGAACGATGTTGTATTATAAAATGACTCTTTAATTTTCTCCTTTGAAGGTGATAGACGAAACCCTTCGTTTAATTTCACGCACAAGTATAATGTTCCGAGAGGCAAGGATAGATGTTAACGTTAATGGTATGTTATCATCATCTTCATCGTTATAGGCTTATAAATTTGGCCTTTCAAAATTGTTGATGGGCTAACACGATTGATATGACCAAAACGGCAGGCTGTATAATTCCAAAGGGATGGACAGCTATGCTCCTCGTTCCGGACATTCACATGAAAGAAGAAATATATAGAGATCCATATGAATTTAATCCTTCACGATGGGAGGTAATATAAGTTTAATAATGTTATATTCTAATTATTTGTTGTAATGCTATATATTTATATATATTATAATTGATTAATTATCAAATATTTAGCGATATATATGGTGTGGTGTGTAGAGTATAATACCCAAAGCAGGAGAGTACATACCTTTTGGAGCGGGGGGCAGATCGTGCGTGGGAAAAGATCTTGCCAAGTTTGAAATGACGATTACGCTCCATCATTTTCTGCTTGGTTATGAGTGAGTGTTTCTATAATAATAATAATGATAATTGTTGTTGTTTTTGGTGTTAATTATATTACAGCTTTAATTATTTCCTTAAACTTGTTAAGGTACATGGTTAATTAAGATTAAGTTTAACGTTGTTTAATTTGCAGGCTACAAAGGAAGAACCCATCATGCGGAACGAATTTTCTACCCGTTCCTATACCTAAAGATAATTGTTTGGGCAGAATTGTAAGAACAACTCCATCTTCTCCTAGTGCTTAGACAAGATCTCAGAGACTATGGTGCATGTTGATTCGATCAGTAGGACAAGAAGGGAGAATTACTTAGCTTTATTTAGTATTGTGTGTTTATGGGTCCACAAAGTAGAAAGGAATAAGAGTTAAATAGATTATTTTTATGTGGTTGTTGTGAGCATTGAATTGAAAAACGCGCATTAACGGGGTGTTTGGTTAGAAGGAGGGAATTAGGATGGAAAGAAATTGTAATTCAGTGGGAATAAAGTAGGAATTTAAATTACAGTGTTTGGTATGCAGGTGAGAATAAAGTAGGAATTCAAATTACAGTGTTTGGTATGTAAGAATAAAGCATGAAATTGAAAGGGAATAAGTGATACAATGATTGAAATGCCCTTATGTAATAATAAGAATAATAAGAATAATAATAATAATAATAATAATAATAATAATAATAATAATAATAAAAAAAGGAAAACAAAAATAAAAGGACGAAAGGAAAACAAAAATAAGATGACGAAAGGAAAACAAAAAGAATGGGGAAGAAAGGAAAACAAAAAGAATGGGGAAGAAACAATAGGCCGAAAGAAAGGAACGAATGATGAATAGGGAAGAAACAAGGAAAGAAGGAAGTATAGTTAATAAGACAAAAGGGTAAAATAGTCTTCACATACATTTTCTTCTCCCATCAAAACAACGAATTCCAATTCATAGGGGGGAGGTATGAATTAGAATTCAGCATTTGGAGGGAGTTGCAATTCGGTGGAATTGCAATTCCCTCCAACCAAACGGCGTAATTGGACCTTCTACAGAATTGCAATTCAATTACACCCGAATTACATCCAACCAAACACCCCCTAAGTAATATTATATCCTAGATTTTATTTTTATTAATATTTTTGCTCTATTTTTAATTTTTATTTCTTGTTAACATGATAGACATTGATTAACTTCTTAGAAAACGGGTTGGCGAGGATGCATATATATATATATTTTCATCCTTGCAACAAAATTAGAACATATGATAGTGGGGAATAACACTCCCTACAAGTATACTATACATTTGCTATGTACATTTTCTATGAGAATAATACCATCTAATTAGTGTTAATACCTTAGCTTTTGCATATATAGGATACAACCATGTAGCTTGGATTGTAGCGGGCCGGGTCCGGCAGCGTCAATTCGATCTTATTCTCAATATGTATCTTGCTTATAGACACACACACACACACACACATATATATATATATATATATATATTAGAATTTTCTAATATATAAATGTTATATAACATTTTTAAAGGATAATTGCACTAGCTTTTCGTTTTTTTAAGTTATAGACCAAGTGTATTAATCACAAAAGTGGCTATGTTGGTCATTCAATGATTCAGAAGACCAAAATAGACACTTTTAAAAGTTACAATTTTGGTACTTAATATATATCTCAAGGACGAAAATAGTCACTTTTGTGACTAGCTAATTAAGGGTTAAAATTACAGCTCATAATAATTAAGTACTAAATTCATATTTGTCCAGTAACTTATATAGGCTAAAAGTGCAATTACCTCTTAGCTTTTGTTTAAGAATATTCTATATTCTGTTTACTATAAAACTAATTCAGATCTGCTTTGAATATTGTATATTTTATAATTACATTAGCAATTCGATCACTTACCAACTATCTCAAAATACTGAGTTAACCATAATATTAAATTCATTTTAGAAGAACGAAGATAAAAAATTAAATGAGATCACATGTAGTGATCGTACTACGTTGGATAAGTGATGTTTTCTTTCACATGATGATGCACGCATGAACGTTGTCGTCGCTAAAGCTAAAGGCGACATTGTCGTCGACGAGGGTGGAGTAAGGCAGGGTGGGATAATAGCCGCGCATGCTCTCGTTATAGCCGTGGGTGTAGTAGTTGTAAGTGGCGGCGAAGTTGGACTCGTCCAAGTACTGTGCGGCGTAGGGAAAGTACTCGCCGTCGTCCGGGAACGGCCACAGCTCCGCCCTGCTCCCCCCTCTTCTCACCGCCTTCAGCACCCGCCGCCCCTCCACGTACCCTTTCACCGTCACCTTTTGCCGGTCCATGTCGATCTCCATGCTGTCAACGCCTGAAAAAATTAAAGAGCGTTTGATAAATAGCTGTTAACTGATTAGATTAATAAGTTTGACACTTTGACTAGTACGTTGATAATAAAAGTTTTTGATAAATTAGGGATTAGCCTAATTATATATAAAATAATTTTTTTAAAACTAATTGAAAAAACTGCTTTGATCAGTTAGTTTTTTTTTTTTTTTTTTTTTTTTTTAAATTTTAACATTTTAGAATAATAAAATAAATGACTAAAAATGTAACAACAGAAATTAGTGTATGTAGCAACGTTTTTGGATGAGTTGCCCCTAATAGGGTCTTGTTGATGACCAAGATTCAATTGTTTGAATCAATTTATTTTGAGGGGTGTGAATATTGGTGCAATATGTCAAATAAATTTATATTTACTGAGATAAGCAATTATAATTTAACAAATTTTACAAGACTCAACATTTCAAAAATAAAAGATGCAATTTTTATATATAAAAAAGACTTACCCTCTAATTTAGAAATTGCCCTTCGCACCCTTTTCTGGCATCCATCGCAGTCCATACGAACCAACAGCTCCACAATCTATATATCATCATGTATATATGTATATAAAATGAGGGTTTCAAGTTTCCAACACTAAGATAACACCAATATACATATACATGCACACACTACTTTTTTGAGTTTCGAGGAAAATCTAAAGCCACTATTCGAAAGTATGCATTAGCTAGGTAAGTCCCGCAATCACACAAGAGAGGTAAGTGCACTAGCAAGACCATACGTAACAAGTTGGACCGAGAGGCCGGGTATTGACAAGATACCGGCATGGGCAGCTCAGTTGGTCACAGGGATGAAGTTTGAGAACAATGACCTGAAATCGAGTCTCACCAACAGTGTGGGAGCGAGTAACCTCTTAAAGTGAGGGGGGCTCCTTGTGTGCAGTGTAAGCAAATATTTAGCCTTGTGTTATGTTCAACTAAGTTACCATGATTTACATCCTTCGAGATACTCTGTCGGACCGGGGTATAGGAGTCCTTGAGTTGAGGAACCAAAGGTGTTAGATAAGATTTAAACTCGTAACCTTCAAATACAAAAAATATGCTTCACCACTTAGCTAGCCCCCCCTTTCGGAGCCACTATTTGGGCATGCACGAAAAGATAATTATAAGTTCATTGCTATATGATCTATTATATATACTTACAGATAATGCATCAGATCGTCTTGTTTTCTTGAACCATCCAAAATACATCGTAAGATATATATACATGCACTATATATGTATCGCTTATATATAAATATCGGAGCAGCTTAGTCGATCTTATATATACACACACACACCTAAGGTAGTAAGGTATAAAAGAAGGGATATATAGCCCAAAAGAATAAAACAAGTTGATCAACTTTGTTGGGGAGCACTATACATGACAATTACAGTACTAAAAAGCAATTGGGGAACGTACGTTATCGGTCTCTTGCTATTAAAAAATTTAAAATATAAGTAGATAACCTTAGCTTTACATGATTACGACGGTTTTGATCATTCTATGATTAGAAACATAATACATGTTAGGGCTTAGAGATTTCAATGCCCATTGAAATATACCCTTCACTCAATCCCATCGTTACTATTATTTCCTTCAAACTAAGCATTTTCACCACTCACCTTGTAGTCTAGTGACACCAAGTTGTTCTTCTATATGAGATGTTATGAGTTTGAGCCTCGTAGAGGCGGTATGGTTGAAAATGTAGTTATGAATAGATATTACATTGTAACACAGTCAATTAGTGTTTCAAAGCAGTTTTTTCCATCAGCTTTTTGAGAAAGTCATTTTGCATGTAATTAGCTATCAGCTAACAACTAATTTACTAAACGCTTTTCTATAATCAGTTAATGCTATCAACTAGCTAATTTACTAAACACTTTTCTATAATCAGTTAATGCTATCAACTAGTCAAACTCACTAATTAACCCAATTAGCTAACAGCTATTTACCAAACACTCCCAAAATATTTCAGGAAATCTCTTAAGCCTAATAACATCTCTATGTTTTAGTTGGTTGGAGGATCAAAACCAAACACCGCAAGCTAAGCATGCAAAGCAAAGAATATATTTTGCAACGTTAATTTTAATAATACATAATAAGGGACCAAAACGGTGACCAATTATGAATAATTGTCAAGCACCTTGTGCTCAAATGGTATATAGTGACTCTCCCATATAGGAGTATTTTTACTTATATTCCCGGTCAATCCATTGTATATATATTCTTCTTTCCTCTGTAACAAGCTCTGGTAATTTTCAGTTCACAATACAACAGAATGGTTCCTTCTTTACTCTACATTCTCTCTGCATGACTCGTTCCATAATGTAATAGAGTTAGTAGCATTCTGTATTTTATTTAATTTTGATATTATTTACTTATTTTATTATTCTATTTTCATTTTGGTAGTATATAAGAAACAAGTTGTTTAACTTGCAACAATGCAAGCGAATATTTAATTAAATAGAAACATTCTCCAAAGCGATATGATGGATTGATAGAGGATAAGCTGTTGCCTGTTGGATAATTAGTATTAAATTGAAGTATATAAATAACAAAAATTATAATAGAGGAATAATATATTAGGTAGATCGAGGAAAAAAAAAAAGAGGAATAATAATATATAGGAGGTATATTGCGTCATTTCTCATGTATAGCTAGCTCTAATATTCGAAAGCACATTTTGCAATATTTGTTATTGAATTGTGTTGGGAATATGACGTGACATTTTAGAATATGGAACCAAGAGGAATCTAATTCTGATCTTTAAGGAGACAGATTGAAACATTAATATATGAATATATGATTTTGTTTGGGACAATCAATCTAGCTTGAGGATAATCTAAAAGTTTAAAAATATTAAAACTTTAATTTAGGAGAATGTGTGTTGAATTGTTTGAAGATACACTCCAAGTAAAAATCACCTTTTAATCCTAACTAACAAAAGACCAATTCATTACCCCACAAAGCATTTGGGAGGATGTAAATCATGGTGACTCAACTGAACATGAACCGCCCCGACAGAGCATTTGGGAAAATGTAAATCATGGTGACTCAACTGAACATGAACCACATGAACCACAGAGACTAGACCGGTGCTCACTTTGAGAGGTCACTCCCACACTGCCGCTGGTAAGACTCGATCCTTGGTCATTATTCTAAAGTTTCACCTCTATGACCAGTTGAGCTACCCATGCGGGCCACATTACTTTTCATGAATTTGCTTCGAGTGACAAATAATTGATTATTGTTTCATCCTTATTTTGTTCTTCTTGTACCATCACATATATCCTGTGAATGAACCTGCTCTAAACCTATTAAAAATTAAATCGAATCACAATCTTGTTTTGAGACTCAACATCAAACCGTACATACACTTTTGACATTAATAATCTAACCCAAACCTCTAAGGTTTATAACAAGAACCAAACCTCATTCTGTCATTAAAAATAAATTAAATATTAAGTAAAACTTTTCATCTACTATACTAATACTCTGGGGCACTTATGACATTCTTTCAGGTGTTGAGCTAGCAATTCCTAAATATCAAACTGGCAAACATTAGAACACAATTTTCTAGCTACATAAGTTATTTGAACCACTCTTTAGTTTGCAGGAATGTCTACATTCATTACTCAAAATGTACTTTAAGTGAAACCCATCATAGTTTGAAACACCCTGGAAGCTAGCAAAGTGATTGGTGGTCGTACCACATTGGTAACAAAAACCAAGCAATAGAAGCACATTCCGATCTGGATATATGGTCAGCAATCACTCGACCGAAGAAGAATCTATACTCTGACAATTCCGATCTGGACGGTAACTGATCCAATCGAAGTGTATAATAAAGAGAGATAGATCTTCAACTCTATTCATCCTTAGCTTGTACGTATCTTGTTTAAACATGTTTCAGTGTTGTTTATGGATGATATTAGGTTGTTTTATACTTTTAACAACAAATCTCAATAATCATCCTCCACGAATAATCAATGTCATCCTCAATCCTTAAATCTTAGATCAGGATTTACGTGGAGATACCTTAATCAAGTTGATCGGACAATTGATGATTTAGTTACTACATGGTTCAAAGTTTGACTGTACTATCATAAGGTGTGCATTAGAGTGGCTGAATGGGTGGAATATGAATTTCATACAATAAGGTCACACATTTGATCCTTGTAAACAATCTCTCGTAAGTAGCTACAAGTTTTTCTTGTTACCAAAAAAAAAAAAAAATCCATAAAGCAAAAATGCATATACAAATTGATAACAAATTTTAAAATAACTTTAAGTTATGTGTCTACAATTAACATATTATCTTATCGCAATTAACAAATTATGTGCATGTAAATAAATTGAAGGCATATTATAATTTGTGAACTATAGACACATAATATGTACATGCACATATAATAGGTTAACTGCAGACTCATAATATGCATTTAGCATATTACTTTGTATGTGTTAACATATTATGTGTCTGTAGTTAACATATTATGGGGGTGTTTGGTAAATGGTTACTAGCTCTGATAGCTGTTATTGTGTTAGCTGATTGGGTTAGTGGGTTTAACTAGTTGATAACATTAGCTGATTGTAGAAATGTGTTTGGTAAATTAGCTGTTAGCTTATTAAATGACTTTCTCAAAAAGCTGATTGAAAAAAGCTATTTTGAGTAGCTTTTTGAATTTTAGCAGTTTGGAGCATAAGTTGTTACAAAAAGCTAATTAATCAAACACTCATATTGATTGTTTAACCAAATCAAACAGCTAATAGTGGTCGAATAAGCCAAAATTGACTGATAGGCTAACTATTTTACCAAATCGGACCTATGTGTTTGTAGTTCACAAATTAATAGTTGTGTTTTATGTTATAAATTTGTGTCTTGTGTTGTGAAATTCTGTGACTTGATCACAAATTTTGTACCTAAATCAGATTTAAAAAAAAAATAAATATATAACATGTGTATGTGTCTTATGTTGTACTTTTTTATGTTTTGTGTTATGAAATTTTGTACCTTATAAGTATAAATTCTGTACCTCGTCGTTTTGATCAGGGTCCAGAATGTTATGTGGACCCTGGTCCATGATATAAAATATAACCTTGGCCTTAGCAAAATTTATGGGCCAGACTTAGAAAGCCCATATTCATAAATGGACTTTAAGGCTTTAAGCCTAAAATGTAGGCCTGAAATAGCTACATACCCGGCCCAACAAGTCAAGCCCCCGGTGGAATTAGCACCATGCCACCATGGCCACTTGGCCAGTACCAGTTGAATGATCTACTCGTAAAGCTCAGTGTAGTTCTCGTATTTCCTTCCTTCAATTTGTTACAGAATCAGAAAATCACCAAGAGGTTAGAGAAATGGGATCGAGATTTGATGAGAAAGATTTCTTGGCTTGTTGCGGGAGCACCAGATTTGCCAAAGAGATGGCGGCGGCAGCTCCCTTTTCCGATTGCGCCGCCGCCGTTGTTGCCGCTAGAGATATCTGGTTCAACAAGGTACTTTCACTTCTTTTGTCTCTCGTCGTGTACGCGCGATTTTTTCTCGAATTTTGACCTTCTTAGATACTGATCTCAGTTTGATTTCACAGGTCGATGTAAACGGTTGGCTCGAAGCTTTCTCTGCGCATCCCCAAATCGGCCATATGCCTTCACAGAATCATAAAAGTCCCGCTTTTGCACAGTTATTCCCCTCTGGCCTTTACCTCTCTGCTAATCCCCTAATCTCTCTGTTTGGAGCTAGAGTTTCTAATTTGTTTGCAGAAATATGCAACAATCCATAATTTTGAACATACATCTTATATATCCTTGATTTGTTGCTATATTTATTGAAGTGATTTCTGGTGATGTTTTGGCTAGTTCCTTTTTTCAAGGAACTTTAACTATATCTTGTTCATTCAATATGATCATTTTAATGGCCCAGCCAAGTTGGTGTTGACTTTATAAGTTCGACTTTCGGTGAGAGTGGCCTATTGACCTTCTTGGTTTGAGCCAGTCAGCTATGGATAACCTAAGTTGGTTTACCTCCTTGTAGTCTTTTGCCGGCTAAGGTTATAAGACGGAGTTTACCCGGTGCATACTCTCGGGTAGTGCATCACCCAAAAAAAGATCATTTTAATTGAAAATTCTCAGTAGTATTATTGCAAGAATCTGGTGTGATACAGAGCTCTGTATGTATATGCCTTTCCTACTACACTGTTTCCTTTGCTGATTTCTGTTTATATCTTGACCTCCTATGTTCTTT